AAAAAATAGACCTGCATGCAAACTAGCCTGCCTCTGGGAGGATTGTGACAAACACACAGGTGTGCTTAGCGCAACACTACAAAGCAACCCGACAATGACAAACCAGTTTGTGCATGTGCAAGTGAAATGGAGAGGGAAGATGACAGTTAAAGAGAAACAGAGTTTAGATACCACATTAGAAACTACAGTGTGGAGCAAGGGGAGAAATCATTAATAAAATGAATTAAGCACGTTTTTTGGACCGTGCTAAGATCAGGGACTATTATAAGGCTGGTATTGGGGATGCCTCCCAAATCTCAGAGGAAGGAACCCGCTGCAGAAATATCAGCTCCAATGGGTTTTGGGTCCAAGTGGGGCAACTCAGAGAAAGGCCCAGCAAAGAGTCTGAATTAGCAGCCAAGAAGCAGGGGTAACGCCTGGCGGCTCCTTGCTGTCTTTTGAATTCTTGTCTTCCAGCGTGCACTCCTCACTCCTCTCTCATGTAATCGAATCGCTACCTAGATACCAGAGAATCCACAGACATCTGAAACCTCGGGATAAATAGGTAGGCAATACACAGGGCGCCATAAGGTTTCACCTCTCCAGAGCTCAGAATGAGAGGGAGATCAGCATTTAGTCACATCTGAGCACAGGACACAGACACAATTACTGCCAGCGATTCCATGTCCCAACAGATATTGGGGCAAGCTGATGGAGCAGGTACCGCTGCTAAGCCAAGCAAAGCAGGGAGTGTGAGAGAGCTGGGGGGAGGGGGAGAAATGGGAGAGGAAAAGACCTTGCAAGGAGCTGGAGGCAGAACGGAATCAGTTCCATACAGGACACAGTCCCAGGTAAAGACAGGCCATCAAAGCAGCCCTCTGAAGCTGGTGACACAAGGAGCAAATCCTCTATAAAATCACCAAGTCCTCAGATCCCAGCAGCACAGGGCAATGTGAGAGAGCTGGGGGGAGGGGGAGAAATGGGAGAGGAAAAGACCTTGCAAGGAGCTGGAGGCAGAACGGAATCAGTTCCATACAGGACACAGTCCCAGGTAAAGACAGGCCATCAAAGCAGCCCTCTGAAGCTGGTGACACAAGGAGCAAATCCTCTATAAAATCACCAAGTCCTCAGATCCCAGCAGCACAGGGCAAGAGCACCAATGCCAAGGTCAAATTCTGCTCCCTGCCGACAGAACTGCTTCACCCCTTCTGAAAAACAGGGACTCCCCTGCCATTGGCCCCTATAGGACTGTCCCTCTGCTCAGCACTGAGAGCACCTGGCCTCCAGACTCCCCATCCTCTCCCTGTGTGCTTTCACGCAGGCCCCTCGCTGACCTTCGAGCCCGGAAGCAGGGGATCTGGGGGAGGGGAAGGGGCAGAAGGGTGGGGTAGGCGCCCAAGGGGTTCCCTAACGCTGTTGTAGGGATGGGCTGAGGAGCGTTACTGTGTAAACTCTTTCCAGGTGGCTTAGTGACCTCAGTTTCGGTAAGTCCATTTCAGGTGAGACTTTGTGCCGCTCCCACTGCACGTACCACACGCTGTCCACACGCGAGTACACCGAGCCGCACACGGTATGCATGAAGCAGGCATGTGCACCGAGTACATCATACTTGCAGACATGCATGTGACAGACAGACAGACAGACAGACAGACAGACACACACACCTTCTTATTTACCTGGATAAAGGACCCAGCAGAAAGGCAAGCAGATTTCTTTGGCTGGCTTGTCGGAAGCTCTGAGGCCAGCGCAGTGGCTGCAAAGCTATGAGGCAAGTTTCCTTTAGAGCCACCCCCGATCCTTCTGATCACCGACAGAGGCAGGCTGAGGCCTGAACAAGCCCAGACAAGCCCAAGCGAAGCCACTTCCTAATCCTGCTGGTTAGAGAGGAGAGAGAAAGAGACTGATCAGTCTTAAGTGCCCTGAAGCTGGGTACCGCAGGCGGCCTGTCACGCTACCAGGAGCACACAGCCTGCGGACAGAGGCAGGTATAGATCACTCAGGTGAGTTGCCCCAGTGCAGAATTTGATCCACTGTGTTGAAAGACACCGGTGACAAGAAGAATGCCGGGGTTTCTCCTGGAAAAGGAGCGTAACCCACAAACTGTGCACTCACGTTGGAGGCTTTAGTAACTAGAAAGAGCCAACTGCCAAGACATACTGCAGCAATGACATCACCAAACCAACCATGCAGGGAAGCCGGGTTTCAGGCACGCACGTGAGCGACCGATCCCTCCGGCAGGTTCCACCGGATTCCCTCCTCCTGCCCTCTCCAGTTCTTGCCCACCCAGCCAGCACCGTTCTGTTCTTCTCACACTAGCTGTGCTCCAAGAGGGAAGAGGTCGAGAGAAGACACTTCGGAGCTGAGCACCCTGCTCCTCATTCATTGCAGCACACCCGGCTAATTAATAAAGAACCCATCAGACACACAGCTGCAGTAGCTTCCCCTCTGCTGTCTCACAAGGCCAATATTTCCCATCCCCCCTTCCCCTATCAGGGGATGGTCACATTTATTTTTATGTATTGACAAGGCTGCTAAGCTGGATTCTGCTCTCAGGTGAGTGCAACTCCAGAGACTTCAACTGAGTTACTTGGCTTTTGCACAGCTGTGTAACAGAACACAGGGACAGGCCCCTCAAATCCAGCCATCTATACTAAATGACAACTATGTCAAAAACACCCAACGTTGTGATTCTTAGGCAGCAAGGAATAAAAAATTCCCACTGACACGGCCAGAGGTCACAAAGATCATCCGAACTTGCTTGTACACTAACCCTTCTTGCAGCTG